AACGAAGTAGCAATGCCTCTGTTCTGGCTGTGCTAATAGACTGGCGGCTGTTTGCGGGGGCCTTGTTGGACAGCCCAGGTGCTGAGCCAGCAAGGCTTGTGCTGCGGCAGCCCTGGTGCTGACCGTAGCACTTCCTGTGGACGGCTGCAGGTCTATCTGCGTGGCTGGAGAATGGCAAGCAGAAGAAGAAGAAGAAGCAGAAGAAGAAGAAGAAGAAAAAGAAGAAGAAGAAGAAGAAGATCAAGAAGAAGAAGAAGAAGAAGAACAAGAAGAAGAAGAAGAAACAGAAGATCAGTCACAAGAGAAGTACAACACCAACAGCGAAGAGGAAAATGCTCAAAAAGACATCACAGTCACATTCAAAAACACACCCAGGATCACCAGAACAAGCATAGCAAGAGCAGATGGAGCAGCAGCGTAGCAGATAGTAGAGATTATATTTATATACCAATAAGGTTTGGAAACAATAGCTCCCCCGGTTTGGTGGGCCTCCAACAAGTCGAGAATGCAGCGGAGTGTCAATCAGCAAGCCTTCCGGGTGATCGAACGAGTGTACCGAACGTACCTTCCAGGCGATCGAACTTGAAGGAAACGATTTGGAACTTGGAGGAAATTATCTGGACAAGCAAGCTTGGAGCTCTGCCTGCTCGTTGGAGCTCTTCGAAGGAATGATAGAGGCCACATGAGTCCACGGTGGGATCAGACCCCTTGGGAGACCAACATGGACCCTGAAAACCACTGGTCCCCGGAGGACAACAGCCTCAACTTTCACTCCTGTTCCGACGCATCTGCAGCAGGCCATCCGAAGACCTTCCGGGGATGGCTCCGTTCACGAAAGAAGCCATTCGGAGGAACGATCCTAAGACTCCCCTATACACATATATGTATATATATATATATATTATATTAATCATATTATAGGACTGCAAGATGTTCGTCTACAACATGGTGGTTTTCAGATGCCTTACGGGTAAAGCATAGGGTCAATTCATTCCGGCCCCATGGAGTGTTGGGGGGGGGCGGAACCCATCACCATCTGCAGAATCACCAAAAACAGCGGTCAAAACAAGCTCCAGTTTCTCTGGCGTCACATGGTGGTTGTGCACCGCTGGAGCGGCCTGCAGCGCTGGAGCGGCCTGCTTTTCTTCCTGGTCGGGGGCCTCAGGAAGATCAGCGAGGGGAAAGGCACCGTGAGGCAGTTTTGTCAGTGATCCACACTGAGCGCCTGAGCAGACTACGTCAGTATTTGTGCAAGAGAGCGCCTGAGGTGTAACCAAGAGGACCAATCCCCGAGCACTCCACCACTCCATTCATGACATATACGCGTACAATGTGCCTACAATGTGGGGAACTATGGATATTCATCCATAGTCTCAAAGGAAGTTTAGTGTGCAAAACTTCCGTGTTACGGACTTTCAACAGCTGTTCAACCACCACTCATCATACACCACTCATCATACACCACTCATCATACACCACTCATCATACACCACTCATCATACACCACTCATCATACACTACACATCATACACCACTCATCATACACGACTGATCACGCACCACTCATCATACACCGCTCATACACCAGCTCTGGTTTCAACAGCTCAAGCTCCAGGCAATTCCAGCTCCAGGTGCAGATTTCGTGGCAGGTGCAGCACTTTGTGAACCTCCCTGTGCAGATTTCGTGGCAGGTGCAGCACTTTGTGAACCTCCATGTGCAGATGTCGTGGTAGGTGCAGCACTTTGTGAACCTCCATGTGCAGATTTCGTGGCAGGTGCAGCACTTTGTGAACCTCCACGTGCAGATTTCGTGGCAGGCACAGCACTTTGTGCACCTCCATGTGCAGATTTCGTGGCAGGCGCAATACACAATGCGTTGCGGAGAGATAGCGAACGCACGAAATGCTGTATTTTGCAATGGAACCGGTGGTTCCGAAGCTGGCTAGGCAAGGTCTGCGGAACGACGGTTGCGAGACGGTCTCGGAGCATTCTCGGATCATGCTCGGATCATTCTCGGAATCGTCCGTCCATTGGGATTAGAGGTTTGACTCGTTTCTTGAAGTGAAGATTTCGTGGCAGGTGCAGCACTTTGTGAACCTCCATGTGCAGATTTCGTGGCAGGTGCAGCACTTTGTGTACCTCCATGTGCAGATTTCCTGGCAGGCACAGCGCTTTGTGAACCTCCATGGGCACATTTCGTGGCAGGTGCAGCACTTTGTGTACCTCCATGTGCAGATTTCCTGGCAGGCACAGCACTTTGGGAAGCTCCATGTGCAGATTTCGTGGCAGGTGCAGCATTTTGTGAACCTCCCTGTGCAGATTTCGTGGCAGGCACAGCACTTTGTGCACCTCCATGTGCAGATTTCGTGGCAGGCCCAGCACTTTGTGTACCTCCACGTGCAGATTTCCCGGCAGGCACAGCACTTTGTGAACCTCCATGTGCAGATTTCGTGGCAGGCACAGCCCTTTGTGAACTTCCATGTGCAGATTTCGTGGTCGGTGCAGCACTTTGTGTACCTCCATGTGCAGATTTCCTGGCAGGCACAGCGCTTTGGGAACCTCCATGCGCAGATCTCGTGGCAGGTGCAGCACTTTGTGAACCTCCATGTGCAGATTTCGTGGCAGGTGCAGCACTTTGTGAACCTCCATGTGCAGATTTCCTGGCAGGCGCACCGCTTTGTGAACCTCCAGGTGCAGATTTCGTGGCAGGCACAGCACTTTGTGAACCTCCATGTGCAGATTTCGTGGCAGGCACAGCACTTTGTGAACCTCCATGTGCAGATTTCGTGGCAGGCACAGCATCTGGCGAGCTGGAAGCTGAGAACTGGCGACTTTGTAGTACAGCTTTAGTACGCGGAGTATCTGGCGAGCTGGACGATGAGAACTGGCGACTTTGTAGTACAACTGTAGGACGCGGAGTATCTGTGGAGCTGGAAGCTGAGAACTGGCGAGTGTCTAGTACAACTTTAGTACGCGGAGCTATCTGTGCAGCTAGAAGCGGAGAACTGGCGACTTTGTAGTACAACGTTAGTACGCGGAGTATCTGTGGAGCTGGAAGCTGAGAACTGGTGACTTTCTAGTACAACTTTACTACGCGGAGCAATCTGTAGAGCTGTAAGCTGAGAACTGGCGACTTTGTAGTACAACTCGAGTACGCGGAGCAATCTGTAGAGCTGGAAGCTGAGAACTGGCGACTTAGCACAACTTTAGTACGCGGAGCAATCTGTAGAGCTGGAAGCTGAGAACTGGCGACATTGTAGTACAACTTTAGTATGCGGAGTATCTCGCAAGCTGGACGATGAGAACTGGCGACTTTGTAGTACAACGTCAGTACGCGGAGCAATCTGTGCAGCTAGAAGCTGAGAACTGGCGACTTCGTAGTACAACTGTAGTACACGGAGTATCTGGCGAGCTGGACGAGGAGAACTGGCGACTTTTTGTAGTACAACTTTACTACGCGGAGTATCTGTGGAGCTGGATGGTGAGAACTGGCGACTTTCTAGTACAACTTTAGTACGCGGAGCAATCTGTAGAACTGGAAGCTGAGAACTGGCGACTTTGTAGTACAACTTCAGCACGCGGAGTATCTGGCAAGCTGGACGACGAGAACTGGCAACTTTGTGGTACAACTTCAGCACGCGGAGCAATCTGTGCAGCTAGAAGCTGAGGACTGGCGACTTCGTAGTACAACTAGGGTTTTACTGGCGAACAGTGTAGTACGCGGAGGAGTCAGCTCTCGCTGCTCATTCATCTCTCGCTGCTGAGTCACTGAGTCAGCTCTCGCTATAGCCATCTCTCGCGGCTGAGTCATCTCTCGCTGCTGAGTCATCTCTTGCGGCGTGCACGTTCAGTTCATACTGATAGTATTTGGTTGCAGTTATGCAGGACAGGACATTCAACTGCTGGTCAAGACACCGCTCATCATACACCAGTCAGCATACACCACTCGTCATACACCACTCATCATACACCACTCAACATACACCACTCATCATTCATCACTTGTCATACACCCCTCATTATACAAGACTCAGCATACATAGTCTCAGAGTTCAAGACAGATTTTACATTCAAATTCGGATTCCATTCAGTCCGATGTGTGACATGCAAGGTTTGCCGCCACTGAAGAATGCCACGGTGGGATGTGTGTCGATGTGGACCGCATCCTTGGCAAGTCGTGGTGGCCGGATGTGTGTCATCTTTCGCAGGGGGCACACACACCTTACACACGTGGAATCCCTTGGGTCAAAAGTCCGGAGTGCGTGCGTTTGAGTGGAGGACGCGCATGTTGGAGAGAACGTGGACACTCCTATCGGTCCA